AGGCAGGCGGATCTCTGCAAGTCTGAGGACAGTGTGGTCTACAAAGCAAGTTCCAGGACAGGCTCCAAAGCTACAGAGAAACCCTGCAAAAACAAAGAAAGAAAGAACAGATTACTAGCTCTGTTAATGACATGTAAATAAGACCCAGATTTTATTATTTGGCAACTATTCTTTCCAGGCTAAACATTAGCTGCTCTCAGGGTATCAAAACAGATAACTAAACATTTTGGCTCAAAGCAAAATATGAAGACATCTAGCGAGGGAGAGGGTATGAAAAACACATTCAAGACTTGAGGCTCAATGAAAGGGGAATCGGTAATGTGATAAATAGAAGCACCAGGCTGGAGGGATCGCTCAGCCATTAAAGGCTAGGCTCACAACCAAAAATAAATAGAAGCACCCTGTTGTCCAAGCTTTGATCTAATCAGACTTCAGGGAATACAATTCTCACTACAAAATCTGATTGCTGGAGGCAATATGAAATAGCAGTGTCGAACGAAAACTTCATTCACTGTCCTTCACCAGACCCATTAAATCCCACCACCTCAGGAAGTCAGGCTGTGGGGTGGGCTGGGGTACCTTCGAGCATCAGGACTTTGGTACACAGAGTGTAAGAAGCATGACTTTGTCCCTAAGAAAAAAGCAAGCAGCACAGCCACTGGCCATGATGCCTGTGGGGGTGCTGAACCTTTATGGTTTCCTGTGCTTTGGTTGTCTTGGTAACCTGAGGCCTCCCTATTTGCATTGGCATCAGAGGCCAAGAGCGGAAGCAGAGCTGGAGCACCAGGAAGACGTGCAGGGAAAACTGTGGGCAAGGTGACAGTTATGCCACAGGAGGGTCAGGCCTAGGACAGAGCAGTTTCTTGGTTGAGGGTGGAAGGAAGTGTCATACAAAATCAGATCTCTGGATTCCACACCTACCGTTTCTGATTCAGTAGATCATCGGAGAGTTTAGGAGCCTACGAGCTCATGAGTCTATCTCCTGTCAAGGAGGTCAAGGACACTATGTTTTGTTTTGTCTTGTTTCAGACGGTGTCTTACTGTGTAACCCTGACTGACCTAGTACCTATGTAGCCCAGGCTGGCCTTAAACTTGAGGCAACCCTCCTGCCTCAGCCTTCCAAGTACTGAGGTTACAGACAAGCTACCACCACTGGCCTGGAGATTATTGGAGCATTCTTTTGAAGAAATATCTAATGTTTACTTCTCATTCCAGATCCTAAAGCTGACACACACCCCAAAGCTACTCTGACAGACACTACAGATAGTTCTTTGGTCTGCTTTTAAGTTTTGCGTTTAAAAAAAAAAGATTTCTTTTTTATTTCATGTGTGTATGTGTGTGTTTGCCTGAATGTATGTATGTGCATCGTCTATGTACAGTGCTCATGGAGGCCGGAAGATGGAATCTGAGCCCACGGAACTGGGGTTACAGATGGTTGTGAGTTGCTACATGGGTGCTGAGAACCAAGTCTGGGTCCTTTGCAAGAGCAGCAAGTGCTCTTGATTGCTGAGCCATCTCTCTGGCCCCTTCTTTTGCATCCAGTTCTGTAAAAGAGGTTTAACAATTCCCCAACTCCCCAGGAACTCCTGTGTGTGTCCTTACGAGACACCTAGTGTCTCATTCTCCTTTCATTCCTTTTGGCTTATCGTCACTGTCCTACTCACATCCTTTATTGTCTGTTCCCATCTCCTTCCCTATCTCTTTAATGAAACTCACAAACAGCAGTTTCTGGGGAGTTGCAGAGATGGCTTAACAATTAAGAGCACTGGCTGCTGCTGTAGGCAGACTTTTCTGTCTGTCAGCCAAACTCCACCTACAGGCCACTCAGCCAGAGGACCCAAATGTGATTCCTAGCACCCACCTGGCAGCTCACTACCCTTTTTAACTCCAATCCCAGGCCATTTCATGCCCTTTTCTGGCCTCTGGGCACCAGGAACACATGTGGTGCACATTCATAGGCAAAACACTTATACACACACAATAAAAAATTTAAATCTAATTTTAAAAGGTCATTTCTGGACTGGGGAGACAGTTGAGTGGGTAAAGTGCTTGTTACACAAATGTGGGGACCCATGTTCAGCTCTCCAGCACCCCTGTAAAAGCCAGATGTGATGATGTATACCTATAACCCCAATACTGAGCAGGGAGGGATAGGTGAATCCAGCCAGTCTAGCAGAAATGGCTTAGTGAGACACCCTGTCGGGGCTACAGAAGGATCATTCATAGTCTGTCAGAATATTGGGCTATTTGGACAGAGAAATTATGCACTATTAGAAGCCTGTACCCCCACCCATGTTCCTGCTATTCACCACAGCCTTACACACCATTTTATCCCGAGATGCAGCCTCCTCAGTGAAGTTTCTTCAAGTACATAGGAAGGAATGACTCTCCTTCACCATTCTCCAAAAGAGGTTGTCTGCTGAATTTGTAACTATAAATTTAGCCACTGTCATTTTCCATCTCCAAAATCTATTTTGTTTGACTCTAAGGCGATATACTAAATTTACATATTTACATCTATTTGCTTTGGACTGTTATTTGTGTATGTGCATATCACAGCATCCAGGCACATATATGATTGCATCTTTGTTTGGAAAGCACTTAGGCCCTAGCACCAGAATTATGGAACTCTTCACACAGTGCTGACCATAAAGGACCTGTCAATGAGTTTTACTGTAATTCTGGACACAACATATTGAGAGAAGGATGTACAGGAATGTGAATCTGAAAATGTCTTTTTTTTCTTTAGAGACAAACTCTTCCTAGTCCAAGCTGGCCTTGGGTTCAGCTGAGGCTGAACTTGAACATATGATTGCCCAGCTTCTATCTCCTGAGTGTTGGGTTACAGCCATGCACCAAGCCCAAATGGTACTGGAGGAGGCTGAGCCAGGGCCTTGTGCACGCTAGTCAAGCATGTTGCCAAGCTACATCGCCAACCACAGAGAACTTTAATAATAACAATAATAATATAGAAACACAAACATTGACAGACTTTGATAATCCCCCATGGGCAGCCCCACTCTATCCTTGGGGAGCAGGAGCAGGGTGGGTTGGGGGGTTGGTAGGAGGCATGGGAGGATGAGCGGGAGAGGAAGCGGGATTGATATGTAAAATGATTGTTTCTAAATAAAAAAATAAAAAATAAAATCAGAAAAAAAAAAAAAAAAAAGAAACACAAACATCTTTTACTGTATCTGGAGGAGATTTTAGTCACCAGGAAAATGTAACAGCTGGAGTAAAAGCAGTTCAGAAATAATCTAGAGAAAAAGGGTGCTAGAAAAGGAAGGAAGGCAGAAATGGACCATGCAGAATAAATAGTCAAAGCAGAGCTTTTTAGAGACCAAAGGACACATCAAAGAAAAGTAGAGCATTTCAACAAGGGTGTTAAATATGGAAAAGAGCCAAAGAGGGCTGTGGGCTTTAAAAAAAGGGGGGTGCCACTGAATAAGTAGTGGTGAATGTTGGCAAAAAGAAGCGAAGAGATGAGAGGAAGGAGAAAATTTATAGCAGAGGAAGTTGGTGTGTAGTTTTCCTCTCAAGATGTCCAGCAGCGCAAAGAAGAAATAAAAGCAGAGGCCACTGGGCAGGAGGCTGGGCCGGGGCTGGAACACATGGGACAAAGCAACAGGACCCAAAGGAGGACATTTTCTTCATTAAATGACCCAGATTTTCCTATTTGGGACCAAGGACAATGACAGAGTTTAATGCTCTTTAAATTACAAAGATCCTAATCTTTGCAATTGTGTAAGACAGCACAAATTATAAGGATCAAGATAGAAAGTGTCTGTTTCTGAGACAGCATAAACAGATTCATTTTAGAAGTCAGAGTTAAGTGGTTGTGTTGTCATACTACTGTGACTCAAGACAGCTGTCTTCCTCTTACCAGCCACAGAGAACACACAGAAACTTACAGTTACCTACCAGTCCACACTAGGCAGTCGGTAAGTAAGCACACATGACCTGCTTTTATTTGCACACCTGAACGCAATGCCCCATCCCAAGGAACCTTTTACTTAGGTCAGAACACCTAGGGCAGGCGAAAGGGTTGTGGAGGAAAAGTTAAAGTTAAAAATAAAGACAATCAAATAAAGGAAAGGGAAGCAGAAGTACGATGCTGATAAGAACCAAGACGGATACACACAATTCAGTGCAGTCCAAAAGCCCCAAGGTCAGCAAAGGAAAACATTCAAATCATACAGCCAATTTTCTCTCTTCCTCTCTCTCCTTTCTGCTCATTAATTCACCAGTTCAAGATGATCTTACTGCCTCAGCTTCCCCATCCCAAGTGCTGATAGCACAGGCATGAGACACCAGGTTTGGCCATATTAACTAACTAATCCTTTAAAATGTTTTACTGACCTGGGTAAGTGGGAGCTCACAGACCCCAGTCTGACAGCTGGGGATCCAGCCTAGGACTAAAACAGGCCCCCTGAACGTGGGTATCAGTTAGGAGGCCTGGGCAGCCTATGAGGCCTCTGGCAGTGGAATCAATATTTATCCTTAGTGCACAAATGGGCTTTTGGAGCCCATTCCCTATGGAGGGATACTCTCTCAGTCTAGACTCATAGGGGAGGGTCTAGAGCCTGTCCCAAGTGATGTGACAGACTTGATAGAAGGCCTCACCCTCTTTGGGGAGTGGAAGGAGGATAGGATAGGGAGTTGGTGAGGGCATAGGAGGATGGAAGGGAGAGGGAACTGGGATTGGTATGGAAAATAAGATTGTTTTTAATTTAAATAAAAAAAAGTTTTACGGTTTATTCAGGTGTGTTTTCCATCCATGTATTTATGTCAACCATGTGCATGCTGGACACCCCAAATCGGAGAAGGATGTCAGATGCCCTGGTACTGGGATTATGAATGGTTATGAACAGCATGTGGGTGCTGGGAATCAAAGCCAGGACTTCAAATACAAATGCTCTTAAACTCTAAGTCATCTCTCCAGCCCCACATAAAACTAATCTTAGCGACCTAAGTTTCGGTTTTAAATCAAACACATAACATTGACTTTCAACTTTTATTCAAGATTCTGTTTTAAAATTCAGTAAAAGCAAATTGCCTTTTTAAGATAAGGTCTCACTCTGTAGCCCAAGCTGGCCTCATGCTAGTGACAACCCTCAGTTTTCTCAGTGCTGGGCTGGTTAGAGGGAAAAAACCATAAGTCTTACTTCAGGGGCCTGGGACAGAGGTACTGAATGGCAGGCTGATTACTAATGGTAGACACAGATTACTTTGTTTTTATACCATCTACTATCTTTGCCACCCCAGCCCAAGATGGCGTTCCAGTCTACTTTGAGAAATCCAAACATAATTTTTCCACCACAGAAAGCCTTTTCAGAACCAGGAACTACTGCAAAGATCCAGATATTCCAATTCTCCATACTCCCTGAATCCTGTCCTTCACACGGGCTTCTGGACAGACCCCTCTGGCCGGTCATGCCCTACCTGCTGGGATGGTGGACACTTTTCTCAGAAGCCTGAGGCTCACCACCGGCTCTCAGTTTTTCTGGATCCTCCTCTCTCTAGGAAGACTCTGTAAGACTGTTTCTCTGGCCCTCCTCTCAAGTTCCCCAGGGCTCTACCCTGTTTGGCTGTCTCTATTCAGAAACAAGCTGTGAATTTAGGGGCTTTGCATTTTGCACTGCGGTGCCAGCTGAGCAGAAAGCCCCTTCCATGATTTCTTTGTGCTCTTTTAAGACCCTCCCCTCCCCCCGGGTCCAGAACTCAAATCCCCCAGAGCCATGACCTTCAAAGGTCCCGCTCTCTCCCATCTGGGAAAAGTGGGCAGCGTTGGGGTGACTCAGCCCCCGGAATGTACGCACTTCCTCACGCTGCCACCTGCCTGCACTGCAGGAGCATAGCCTGGCTCACCTCCAGCGGATGTTTTCCTTGTCCCTGCACAGGTGGCCTGTGCCAGCCCCCATCCCAACTCCTGCCCCGCCCCTTGCCCTAAAGGCTGCTCTCCTGGCACTCAGTGGCTTTAACCACTGATAACCCAACATCCACAGCAGTGCCCAGGCCATCAAGCAGTTCTACACTACCCTGCAACCTCAGAAGGTTCATCAGCTCAGCCCCAGTCTCCTTCCGGAAGTGCCCACAGCCACACGGCTGCTTCATCTGCCATCCAGGAGGCTAATGCTCACTTCAAAGTTCATACACCAGGGTCTATCAGGTCCCACCTTCAGCAACCCACTGCCTCCAGGATCTCAAACTTCCCGCTAGCTTTTAGTCTATAGTTACTGCAGAAAACAGACTATGCTCAACCTTCAGGTGAGTCCCCCCCAAAGCAGTGGCAAAGCTAACTAATGACCAGATTTCTGAGACCTTTGCTTGATGCCTTCCAATCCCTTCTCCAGCCAAGACAGGAGGGAGTCAAGGTCATGCCCCTACACAGGAGCCTACCTGGGTGCTAAGTTTTTCTTTGTTTTTATCCTGATACCCCTCTGAAAGGGAACCTGTTTTCTTTCATTCAATGGTGGGGGGAGGGGGTTCTTGGGATGGAACCTAGGACATTGAGATGGCAGGCAAGCACTCTCACTGAACTACATTCCTGGCCAAAGCAAAAGCTATCTTGGAGGAAAACAGCTAAGGAATTAGACCTGTACTGATGGTCGCTGCTGAATGAAGAGGGACAGGCAGGAATCATAGCTGTGTACTAGGTGATTGAGAGTAAAGCTTGGCATGAACTGGACTTCAGACTTGAATGGAAACCAGAGCACATGTCCTAGGAACAGGACAGAGATAGGCGGAACAGCAGGGTCTCTGAAATGTGGGAAAGTAAAAGTGAAGAGGTCGAGTTTGATCAGGGCCTTCATAACAGATAAACTGTCATCATCAAAAGTGTCACAAAGGAGGCTTGGGATCCACGTGATCAAATAAGAAAAAGCAGAGTCCTAAAGCTAGCAGGAGGGAGGGTAAGACATCCCTCTTCCCATGGTACTGAGGTGGGAAAAGCAGCATATTCAGCAGCAGCACGACCTTCCAAACAAGCCACAAGGAACTCCAGATGTCAACAACTGAAACCATAATGCTCCCAGGGCCACATCTGTTCTTGAAGGGGGCATAAACGTGGAAGGCAGAAGTTGGCCTGGAGAGAGCAGTCCACAACAGCAACCCTCAGCCGTACACAGCTGCTCACTGGCCCCCAGATGAGAGAGCAGCAGCATCTTCTCTGAGCTCTAGCCTCAATAAGTGGCTATTTTCTGAGAGCCATGGGCCAAAGATGGCACTAAGAACATCCCACGTGCTACTCATGATGAGCCCACAAGCTGGCATTTCTACCAAGAGACAGGATGACAGAGGTAAAGCGACTTGTGTGAGATCAGATGGCTACTAAGAGTCACGACCTGAGTCCAACAGTCTGTCTCTACATCTCCCAAAGCCTGCAAAACTCAAAGAATGCCCAAGACCGAAGTCCACTAGGCTTTGTTCCATCATAAGTAAAGAGGGGGTACCTCTCTGGAAGTTTGATGATGTTGGGGAACTTGGAAAAGATGCTTCTCTTTGAGGTAGGGCATTGCTAGCGATGGGGTAATCTTGCATCTGCTGCTCCTTTGGGGTAAAAAACAATGGGAAATGTATCTTTGGGGTGCCCCACAAAGCCAAGGGTAGCCATTTCTCAGATGCTTTAGGGAAAGGCTGCCCCAGGAACGGAAGGAAATGTACTCTTCACTCCAGATGCCTGCTTGCTCTCCTGGAGCCTCTGGCAGTTGCACCCTGCTGCGGCTCCTTGGTTTGGCTGGGGCACAGGATTAGCCATCCCCAGGAAATGCCTCCCTCCGGTCCAGGCAGGGATCCCAGCTCACACACCCCTGGTGGTGGTGGAGGGAGGGTTGATGGAATGCTTCCTCTCTGCAGGTCAAGGAGATCTGGGGACCACCTGGGGCCTTCAACACTCCCCCTCCTGGCTCGGAAAGTGCCCAGTCCAGTGCCCCTTCCACGGCCACCTCCCTCCTCCTAGCTGTGTGGGGGCATGAATCAGCTCTCACAGCTTGTTAAAAGCTGGACCTCATTTTCATGCCCTCACCTCAGGAAACAGAGTAACAGCCTGTCCAGTTTACTCAGCAGGGGGCCAGGGTCCTCACTTTATAAACATCCCCAGCCTGTAAGAGCAGAGGGCACTGCCATGTTATGAGAAAGAACCCAAGGAGAGAGAAACTCAAGAGTCAAGGAGCAAGGCAAGAAAAGCAAGGGGATAAGACCAGAGGAACCTGAACAAAAGCCAAGCAGGGCCTAAGAGAGCTGAACTGCAGGAATGGCTCTAAGGATGCTCTGGGCTGGACAGGGCAAGGGGATCCTGAGAGGATGGAGGAGCATCTGCTTGGTGGTGTCTCTGCTCCTACAGCACCCAGGAGTGAACAGCAAGTGTTACTTCCAAGCTCAAGGTAAGGTGGACTGACGCTTAAGAGATGAGGGTGATGGTGAGGGCTCAGAGGTAAGCCTAAGTTAGACTATTCGGTCCTTCAACCTATGAAACAGGAAGGACTGTATGGAGGGCTAGTGTGCAAGGCTTCTCTCCCAGCCCAGACCAGAAGAGACTGCCGCCAACACTCCCAATTCTCACCTACTACAGAACAATCCTCATTCTTCCCTAGCCCCCTGCCACTATGACGGGAAATATTTCACTCTGGGTGAATCCTGGCTCCGCAAGGACTGTTTCCATTGTACCTGTCTGCATCCTGTTGGTGTGGGCTGCTGTGACACGTAAGTGACCAAGAATGGTCAGAGGGAATGCCGCCAGGACTGAGGAGTAACTAATTTCTGTGAGGCAAGAATAAACAGAAGAGATCATGTGACCACAGATGTGAAGGCACCAAGGAGACGGGGGAGTGGAGGTAGATGTGGAGGGAAGGGCTCCTGCTCGGGAAACTAAAACAGTCTTTAAACAGGACTGGGGAGCTGAGTTAGGGAGTCTGGGGGACACCAGAGGAGGATATAGGGGATGCTATGAGAGGGAAGGTGGCTTTTCACTGTACTGACTCTCCCAATCTTTGGTTTTCTAGGTCTCAGCATCCCATTGACTTCCCCGCTGAGTGTGAAGTACGCCAGGAGGCAGGAACCTGTCAATTTTCTCTGGTGCAAAAATCTGACCCTCGGTTGCCCTGCAAAGGGAGAGGCCCAGACCTAGAATGGGGCTCAGCTAACACCCCTGTTCCTAGGGCTCCTGCTCCCCACTCCAGCTAAAGGATCCCCCATCTGCTGACTGCTCACTGCCGCTGCCACTTCCAGGGAAACCACTAGCAGCTGCCAATTTACTCTGAATCAATAAATCAATACCACAGCCGAAAGCCCGGTTCTCATTGCCTGTGCTGCCAGCTCCAGGTGGGAAAAGTGGGCCCCACTGGAGTCCAGGTGTTGAATTTCCAGTATCTGAAGAAACTAGTGCCACGGTGGACATGTGGGCCAATTTCAGATAGTTATACTGCTGGTGCTGGGGCCAGGGGCAGCATATGAGACCAGGGTGGGGCTCGTAGGAAGCACTTTGATGGGGAGGTCCCAGCTGAAGGTGTCTACAGGCACCTGCTCAGGCCCTGTCCAGGTCGCAGGTTCAGGCTGCTCCAATGGAGGCAGAAGGACCAATCCTGGTTCCCGGGATGTTACAAATTCAAAATGCAATCGCCACTTCAAGGACACTAAAAAGAAAAAGACAAGAGACAGATACTCTAAACCAGTGCTTCTCAACTTCCTATGGGTCAAAGGACCCTTTCAGAGGGGTTTCCCAAGACCACCGGAAAAGAGATAGTTACATTGTGATTCATAACAATAGCAAAATTACAATTATGGTTGGGCCATAATTGGCCCATATGGGTCACTACAACATGAACTGTATTAAAGGGTTGCAGCATTAGGAAGGTTGAGAACCACTGCTCTAAAGCAAGTAGCTTAGGTGTGGTGGCACACACCTGAAATCCCAGTATTGGGTGAAGGCAGGAAGACCACAAGCTCAGGTGGGGGGGGGCACTATATGAGACCGTAATATCTAACCAAAACAAAAAAACAAAACAAGCAAGTGGTAGGTAGTAAAAGCCAATGACAGGATATGGTTAGTAAAATAAAAATAAAACAAAACAAAACTCAGAACCATCAAGATGGCTCAGCAGGTTAAGGGGACTTGTCACCAAGCCTGATGACCTAAATCTGATTCTCAGGACATATACGGTAGAAAGAACCACTTCCAGAAAGTTGTCCTCTGACCTCCACACAAATGCTATGGTACATATGCTCAGATCCACACATAAAATAGAACAAATAAATGCATTTAAAATTCTGACTCCAGTGCTAAGGAAGAGGAGGCAGAAGTAGGTGGATCTTTGTGAGTTTGAGGCCAACCTGGTTTACACAGTGAACTCCAGGCCAGCCAGGCAGTGGTGGCCCATGCCTTTAATCCCAGCAAAGGCAGGGGATCTCTGTGAATTCAAGGCCAGTCTGGTCTACAGAGCTAGTTCCAGAACAGCCAGGGCTACACAGAGAAACCCTGTCTGGAAAAACAAAACAAATACATTTTTTGAAAGGAAAAACAAATTGTATCCATAAATAGGTGGAGACACAGGGCAGGAGCATCAATCAAACACTTCGTTTTTTAAGAATCCGATGTGTTAACGTGTTAACCAGAGACACCATTAAGGATAGTACTGTCCACTTAGAAACCCAAAGTCGAGATAGTCAAGGCTGGGTAGCTTGAAGTCAATGTGCTAAGGAGCCAGAGATCAGTGCATCACAGGGGCAGGGATGGTACTTTATAAAGCTGTTAAGAGGTTAGGGGTCAGCACATCTAAGAAACAGAGGGAAAGTGAAAAGACGTGAAAAATGCAAAGGGTTGCGCTAGATGTGGGTATACACGTCTGGGAGTTTTAAGGATCACGGCCCATTACACTCTATGCAAGCTCAGCATTTACTTCCCCTATTCCTTCCTCCAATAATGGTCAGGCTCTCACCAATGGCAGTGCAGAAGCCAGGGGTAGAACAGAGGGGGATGGGGAGAGAGAAACTGGTTCTAGCTGTATGGAGGCAGGACTCCTGGTGCCGGGCATGAGTCACATGGGATACTGAAGGGGCAACTCCTGTCCCACGGCGTCGCTGGTACTCTGGCTGAACACGCTCTTCAGTCTGCAAGCTTACTGAAAACTGGGAGCAAAAAGAGAGACATATACCAGCAGGTATTTGGAAATATGGACTGTAGGTGAGTGGTAGCCCCGAGGAACCCCAATTTCCACTTCTATAAACCACCCCATGCAGGCCCCTCTTCCACCCTAGTCCTTCAGGTTCAGCACAAAACAAAACAAAACACAAAAGCCCCCCCCCGAAACAAACAAACAAAAAAACCTGTTCCTTTCTCACCTGCAAACAAGCTACGGTTCCTTCCCCTAAGTTTAAGGTCCCCACCACGTCCTCGCCAAGTCGGTACACAGATTTGAAGATACCAAATGTCCCAACTTTCCCTCGGCCATCACTGATATTGTATAAATCTGGGGAAAATTGATACCAAAAGGCTACAGTTAACACTGGGGAATATCTGGACTGAGTCTCATGATGCTTTTCCTTATAATGGGGGCAAGATATTAGTGGACCCAGGAAGGGACATGGCAGACAGGAGACTTTTCAGACAGAAATAAACCAAGGGAAGGATTGGATCAGAGCAATTATAAAAGGTTCTCACGGAGGCTGCGGCAGGAGGTGGCAGCCATGAGGCGCTCCCCTGCCAGCTCCGCTAGCCATGAATCCTTCTTCCCACTTTCATCCTCCTCTAGGAATGGACTGGATGGAGCCACAGCCTCATCCTGGGGAAAGTGGACATCCTGAAGACCTAGAGAGAAGGCGTAGAGGTAATGACGGCACAAATCAGAGATGTAAACAGACAACTGGTTTTAGAGTCCAATCTGAGGAGGCTGAAGGGGAGCCATGCTTACTCCCTCATCTCAGCCTGCTCCTCATCTCATCTCCAGCACTGTCCCTAATACGAGGAGTCCCTGCAGGTCCTCTTGGATTATGCTGGGTAAGCCTCTACCCCACCCCTTCCCTCTAGGAGCCTGACTCACCAGTCAGCACAAGAACTCTCAGAGGGACTCTGAGTAAAGTGATGGGTGAGTTGACACGCTGGCAGCCAATGGTCAGTTTGTACACATACTTGACTGACTGACCCCGAAAGGAAGGTGGTCCCTCTGTGGGCAGCACTTCACTGTAGGAGTCTGGTTGGGAAAAGAGTAATCAGGGCAGCTGGAGGCAGCCAGGGTCCTCCCTCCAGGAGACTTAGAAGGCAATTTGGGGCTGGGGGACAATCACTCACATGATTTGGACTCTCCAGGGTCTAGCCTCAAGTCACAAAACAGAATTTTTGGTGGAGTAGAAAGGATACACTGACCCCTCTCACCTAAGAAAAATAAGAAATGACTCCATTGTCCATTACTGACCAGGGTTACAGAGCAAATGGAGGCAGAAAAAAATGCCAACACTTTCTGATGTAATATGGGAACAGTCTTATAGCCCAAAAATCAAGTTACCTCCTTCCCCTACACCTGTGGTGTGTTGGTGACTACATCACATCATACGAGAACAACGTAGCTTTACCCTTGGGTGACAATGACTTCCCCTCCCTCCAAGACAAATTCTCTGTCTCTAACCTCGGTGTGGAAGAAAGACAGTCTGGCTGTCAGGCTGGACATCTGGCTGACTAGAGTCAGGGGGTGGTAATGCTACTCGACTCTCACTGGCATGGAACTGGCAGTGGATCTGGGCACTGGCCCAGGCCAGAGCCTCACTGTGAAAGAGGAAAAAGAACGAATGAGAAGACAAGATCGCCAAGGACAGATGACTGTCTTAAGTGACCAGGGAATCCAGAACCCCCAAAGTGAAACCACTACACAATGCAAAGTGCATCAAGTCCAGAGAGGAGGGAGGAGAGGCGGGTAGGGGCCATGTCATCCACATCTTTGCTGAAAAGCCCTTCCCTACAATGAGAGCACAATGAGCAAGGAGGAGGTGGGGATGGTAGTGTAGTTACAGGACAACCAAAGCTGTGCTTTAGAAGGAGAGAGCGATACCAGGCTTCCTCCCGGAGGGGCCACCACCTTCAATACCAGCATCCCCACCTGGATGCAGAAGTGGCGGTCGGGGGCAGGGGGTTAGTGACAGTCACTAAACATTCCAGAGCCTCCCCCGCCAGAAATACAGGACCTCGACTCAGCTCAGCCACCACTTCAATCATGGCAGCTCCAGAACCAAATCTAGAAGGAAACAAAAGGTGCCAGAAGTCAGTACAGGGGAAACGAGGAAGGAGTGTCTAAGACCTAGGGTTAAGAAGCAGGGTTTTTCAAGTTTCGGTGCGGGTGGGAAGCGCTGAGATTTGGGAAGCTGGCAGGCAGATTGGTTGGGCAACTGGTAATGACTCCGTACTGCCTGCGGGAGGGCGTCACTCTAGCCCCAGACTTCTGCGTACAGAGTCGGGCTAAGTCCTCTGCACCGCCACCCACAGGCTTCCAGGCCTGCCTCGGTCCCCGCTTCCCTCGAGGCTGCGCGTCACGTCTCTGGATACAAACGCGAACTCTTAGAGACGGAGGTCCTCACCTGCCCGCCCCTCCGAGACCGGCTCGGAGATCGGTGGGTTCCGCGGTGCCAGCGGCGCGGCAGAGGCGGGACTTCCTTTGTCACACTGCAGGGTTGAGGCGCCCCTTCCGGTCCGACCTGCGGGGTGCTTCCGGCCGTAAAGGGCTCGGGTGGTCCCTGGGCTGTGGGCCACCCTCCCAGCAGTGGCACCTGAGCGCGGGCGCTGGGGATCCCGGCCGGAGGGACCCGGTACCCAGCCCTGGAGACCGTGGAGCCGCGGCCCGGGGCGGGGCCGAGGGTCGCCGCGAGCTCCCGGGCGGGTCCCAGGGGCGGTGCTTTGCGGGCAGGTACCGCGGCTCCGCCCCCGTCCGCGGAGCCGGTCGGCCTTTGGCCGGGCGAGCTGTTCGCCGCGGCCCAATGACAACAAGACCCAACCCTTCCCGCCTAGGATCTAGAGAGGCGACCCAAGAGATCCCGCAGCGACTTTATTGCTGTGGCCACTGCGGCTGCAGCAAGAGCTCTCTGACTTTACCGGGACACCAACTTCCTACGGCTTTCCCCAGCGTCGGACCCTCCGGGAACGCAACTGGTGCCGGCGTTTCGAAACGTCAGAAACGTGTCAGAGGGACCCGAGGCCACCGGGGTCGTGAAGACCCAGGATCCAGTGATCATGGTAACTTGCGTACCGGTCTCAGAGCAAATCAGCTGTGCCGAAGGAGATCCACAAGTTTATTGTCCTGAAGATATTGGGGACACTGAGGCTGTGCGGGCTACTGACTGCGGGAGCCCTGAGGACGGTGGATCCCATAATGAGCCAGACTACTGCAATTCAGAGGACTCTGAGCAACTGATGGCCTCCTACGAGGGTAATGCTAGGGGCTACCAGGTGCCTCCTTTTGGCTGGCGGATCTGCTTGGCTCATGAGTTTGCAGAGAAGAGGAAACCCTTTCAGGCTAACAACGTCTCTCTAAGCAACTTGGTAAAGCATTTCGGTATGGGCTTGAGGTGAGTAGATCCCTAGAATTGCCTAGAATGCCTTGATTCCTTTGTTCCCATTCAAGACTCGTTGCATAAGTGGGAAAGGGTAGTCAAGCAAGTGGATTCCTGGTTCCAGCAAGTGTGCCATATCCCCCGCATACTTTAACCCTGCCGTTTTTGAGGGTGAGACTGAAGAACATCTTTTTGCAACCCTCTTTTCCTAGCATCTTCTCCGCAGCAAAGAGAAGGCGCATTTAGTTCTGCAGCCAGTCTTTCCTATTTAGGCTCCCTCCCAAGCACTTCCTCTTTCCCAGACATTACTTTGAGATCAGCTATACTTTGTGGCAAAGTAGAAGATCAGCCTCTGTTGTATGGATACAGTGTTTTGTTTGCGAGGAGGAGGTTCTTCAGCCTCCATTCCCCTCAGCAGTTGAAGCATTCTGTATCTTGTTAAGTATGTGTCTGCTTCAGTCCCAGCATTCATCTGTCTCCTTCCTCATGCTCTGACTCCTGGGATAATTGGGAATGGCTGTTGTCAACCCTAAAGAGAGTGTGAGACGTTCACTCTATTCTGTGACAGAGGGCTTCTGATTTAAAAAAAAAAAAAAAAAAAAAAAAGCAAAGTTGGAATTGGGCTAAGTATTGCACACATATAGTGCCACCTACTTGGGAGGCTGAGGCAGGGGATTAATTTGAGCCTAAGAGTTCAGATCAAACCTGAACACCACAGTGAAAACATCCCTGAGTAACAAATGGAGGAGAGCTGGGGATAAAGCTCAGTAGCAGAGAGCATGCATTCTACCACTGAATTACTTCCCCAGACCCCTAAAGATGACTTCTAGCCAGATGTGCTGGAGCATTCCCAATGCACTTGTAGGTAAGTGTTTCAGAGGCAGCCTTAGCTTTTCCTCCTATCCTGGAGGTTACAGACACTCCAGAGCAGGTACTATAGAATCCCTTCTGGAATCCCACTGAGTTCAAAGACAGTGATGAGAAACCATACCTGTTAACAGGAACAGGTGTATATAAAGACAGCATCATTCTGAGTCAGGCCCCATGTAAGCACAGTGCTGGGGAGGGAGGCATAAAGGTTGGGAAACTCAACCCCAACAGCTTCTAAAATAGGGAGCCCTTCCTGTGCCAGTCAGGGTTATGGGACTGTGGTGGGAAATCCACTGACCTCACTAACCCTAGCCCTAGGCAATGAGAAGGGCCTGGTGCTGCCTGGACATTTGGCTCCTGTGGGTGGCCTATCTCAGAGAATCATTCCTTTAGGCCTTTATGAACCTGACTGTACTAGTTACTTATTGCTATGATCAAAACCGGACAGAACTTAGGAAAGGGTTTGTTTTGGCTTACAGTTTGAGGGCACACTCTGCCATGGCAGAGAAGCAACGGTGGCAGGAATGAGAGGCAAGCTGATCACACTGTATCACAGCCAGAAGCACAGAGCAATGCTAGAACTCCGTTTTCTTTCTTCTTTTTACTCAACTCAGGACTGCAGCCTGTGGGATGGTGTCACCCACAGTTAAAGAGTATCTTCCCACCTCAATTAACCGAATCTAGATAATCATTCCTCAGAGGCATGCCCATGGGCTTGTCTCTTGGGGGATTTGAGATCTAGTCAAATTGTCAGTAAGAATTAACCATCATATTATTCCAGTCCAACTCTGACCCCAAAGCCCTTGTGCCAAAATGGGATCTAGGGTAGAGACAGGCCCAGTGGATTGCATATGATCAGGATAAGGTCAAGGACAGGTGTACATTCATCCTAGCCTCTTAGCTACTAAATATGAGCTGAGTCACAGAGGCCCCAAGCTCTTGCTCAGCCCCATGGACCTTGACTTCCCATACTAGGATATGGGCACATAGCTTTTGGAATGGAATGAGGTCCTACATGAGGGAGAAAGCAGAAATGAGAATTCAGAGTGATCATTTTTGAGCTGGGATTGGTATTATAGGGAAAACAATCTGTCAGGAATGGCCACCTGTCAGACTAGAGCAGGGAACCCATCGGAGCTGACCTGAGGGCACCCTCAACAGGAATGCTGGCAGGATAGTTAATGGAGTCTCAACTTAGTAAGAATTTTGAGAGTTGTTCCTTTAGGCAGTCAGTTCACTCAGTAATCTTTACCAACAGATAGTCCTTTGTTCTCCTATCTTAGTATTTTATAATTCTTCTCCAATCCTTTCTGGCCTCTCATTGCTGTCCTATCTCCTCTAAACTGGCAAAGGACATTCAGTCTCCCCACCACCTATCCTTTGTCTCCCACGCCTTTTACTCTGCCCCCAGAATGTACCCTTCCATTATTTTTAATACATTTCTGCCCTCCCAGCTCTTGCTCCAGTCTGCCTTCCAATGGTCTTTCTATGTCAATTGTTTGTACATCCATTCATTTATAAATTCATGAGATATTTATGGGCTGCAGGCCCTGTGCCTTGTCCTGTGCTTACAGCTGTGGGTAACATTCATCTAGCCTTGCTCATTGTCCCTTAACCCAAGGAACTTAAAAAGTTGTCATGCTCACATGAGGAACACACTGAAATAACAAGGCAGTGTCTAATTAGGAACTGAGATAGTGTGTGGCAATAGTCATACCTGTCACCGATATACTAGTTTATGACTTTCTTATCTGTTAGGTTATTTGATCTTTTAGTGATTACATGAGGTAGCTGGGGCAGAAGTTATTCCCATTTTGTAGATGAGGAAACAAAAACTTGAGGGTTCACATATCTAATTACTTGTTTAGATGTGACAGAATGTTGGGCATAGAATGATTGGTTAAGGAGGAGAGTAGGAATGGGAGAGACTGGCAGAGCAGGGCTTGCCTAGTGATCCATCCTGAATGAGAACATATAAGGAGTAAGACTAGAAGGCAGGCTGAGGCGGATGTCATAGCCTTGGAAATAGAACCATCTATGTGTATGTGACAGTCCTGATCTTTTTCCTGTTGGAATCAGAGCAGGGAGCAAAAATAGGGGAGCATTATGACTTTTTTATTTTCTTTGTGAAGTCCTGGATGTCCTGGAACTTACTCTGTAGACCAGGCTGTCCTCGAACTCACAGAGATCCGCCCACTCTGCCTCCTGAGTGCTGGGATTAAAGGTGTGCACCACCAGCCTGGCTAACACTGGCAATTTTTAGAAAGCTTTACTGCAGTGGGTATTTTGATTTTGTTTTATTTTGTTGGGACAGGTTCTCACTGATGCCCAGGTTGTCCTGGAAATCATCATGTAGCCCAAGCTAGCCTCAACCCAAGTGCTGGTTTTACAGTTTGAGTCACCATGCCCAGTTAATTAATTGGGTATTTTGAAAGAGCACAATCTGAAAACATACTGTTAAATTGAAGGGGGGATGGCTTAAGGGGAAATGGTCTAGAATATATAAACACCAGTTACCTTTAGCCAAGCTGATTTGTTTCCCATCTACCTAGTATATTCTCTAATTTGTCACCTTTCATAATCATAAATAAAGTCATTTTAAAAAGAGGAAGTCCTTTTAGCATCTTCTGCTTGTTTGGAAATTAGGGGGATGTGTGGAGGATGTAGCCAGGGAAGGGCAACTGGCCCTTTCAACACAAACAAAAGCTCCTGAGGTTTGAGCTAACAGTGGTAGTGGAGTTAGAACAGTCAGTTCTCCCTCAGAATAGAGAAACAAGGGCAGCCTACATTAGTACTTGGGCAACTGGGAAGATAAGGCACCTTGAACTGGAGTAATCCATAGTAAGACAGTTTAGAAGATGTAGTAATGGGTTCTTACCCATACTGGCCTCAACCTTGTGATCTTTCTGCTGTGGCCTTTTGATTGGATTTTTCATGGAGCCTGACATTCTTGGGGCATTTAGTGGAAGATCACAGCAGAATATCGAGAGAAAAGGAGATGACTGCTGCTTCTAAGAAACAGCCCACTCACCCTCTTACTCACATTGACACTTGCTCCTCAGGTACTTGAAGTGGTGGTACCAGAAGACGCAGGTGGAAAAGAAGACCCCTTTCATCGATATGTTCAATTCCGTTCCCCTGAGACAGATCTATGGTGAGTCTCAGCTCAGCCCATTTCAGAGAAGGCCCAACATCTATGCTTCTGCAGAGGCAGGCAAAGAGGCTTCTAGTTCATGCATACTGCATGGCTCCTAGACATGCATACATACTACATGATTCCATTTCCTGGGTGCCTAGACAGAAGGTGTG